TAGATGTCAAATAAGTTTGCAAATAGACCGGTAAGGTATGGTCGAAAGCTGCCGTATAACACTCGACAAGTAGTTTAGTTTAGCATGAATTAGGTTAGGTCATGTCTGGCTCTGGGGACTGCCTAGTACCATAGCGCAGTCCCCCTGAGGCGCGTCGCCCGGTCCACTCGTTGGGCCGGGCCTGCCCGGGGGCGTGCTCGGAGATGTGGCGCACGGAGGTGCGTCGGCCCAGAGACCGCCCCCATATGGGCGTAGGAGGGTACCGGGGGGTTTTAGTGGAGTAGGATCAGTGTGGCCTTCCGCACTGGTCCTGCTTGAGTAGGGTCGGCACTGTTTCCCGTGCCGGCGAGTCCCACACACGCCGTGCGCCTAGTCAGCGTCACGGTATGGTGCGTAACTGCATTTCCCCTGGTCACAAAAAAAAAATAGGTCATGTCTGGCTGTCTATGTGCAACGTGGATCATTCACTAAAGGTACGTTGCGTCAAGGCTTTGCTTTGGAAGCCACGATTTTCACCACCAAAGTCCTGACCTGAGCTACTAAAACTGAAATAATAGGTACGTTAAAAAAACGTGAAACAAAACCGCGAAAATACTAGAGACCGAATTTACCAGAACACTGCGGATCGCGATAAATGACGATTTGTGGGGCTCATTCTAATATGAGCCTTATGTAGTGCCGCGTAAGGGAGAAAGTGCAACGACATCTGCACTTGTTTACAAGCTATGCGCGTTATCTGCGTAGGTATAGTAGGTACTACGCACTCGCGGATGCTAGTTAACTCTCAATGAGGGCTATCGCGTATGAATCCGCCGCTAGACGCGCTAGTGTAGCGTGAGGTCTCCGAAATGTCAAATGTTATTGCTTGTTGGTTGACTACGCGGGTTTATTTCTTATTAAAATAATGTTGTGAATAATTGGTAACAATTCGGCTTAATTATGGCAAATATGAGTTATGTGGCAATAAATGTCAGTTAATAAAAATTTGAGATTATGTTCCCATTTTTTCCGAATAAAACGGAACTGGGCGTCACTGTGGCATGGCCTATTATGTTTAGGATATGGTTCTTTTGTGTTAAAATACGATCTAAATGTAACCTTTGATTTTATGTGCGTATTAATAAACTTTAAAACTTACAATTTAGGACCTCACTCAACAGTGGCGCCATCTGGTGAGACAGAAAACGGTAGCCCTCATTAGACCAGTATTTTCTAGAATGCGTCGATTGGCGTATATAAGCACGATCGCCGTCGCGCAGAGACAGTTGAGTTACAACAGCGGTTTCGGAACGAATACAAAGGCGATCAAAGTGCAAGGAAAGTGTTCAAGTGCGATTGTTTAAATACTTGTATAGTAAAGTACAGTGTTTAGTGAGTGTTTTGTAATTAAAATTGTGTGTTAACTGTGTGGTGAATAAAGTACTGTGAAGCGTGAACTGGCGTATAATTTCGAACCCCATCCCGACACGTAGCAATATTATTAAACGCGTTCTAGTTCTGACATAAAATTATTATTATTATTATAATGGGGATGATCACTTGGAAACGAAATTCTGTTTAGTCCGTCAGTTAGATTATCAAAAAATAATGGACATCTATGTTTCCTCTAGTCAATTAACCAAAAATTTGCAAAGATAAAGCGTGTTAAAGGCAACGATATACGGATATATGGCGACGTATAACCGACCATGCATTTGAATATCACAAATATTTTATATTAAATCAGTTTATAGTAGGTATTACATCAAAATTTGCTTCAAATGCGTTAAATTAATGCGAAAAAACGACACTTTTCGTACTCTAAGTATTATTTTCGCATTTTCTCGCGGAGCTCGGTGGCATGTTGACTTTGTAACGGTCCGTACGTGACTGTGAACCAAGAAGTGCTTGAGTGGAGTTCAAGCACTTCTTGATTGGGACACATTTTGAGCGCCCGTGGTGTATCTAGGGTATTTAATAACGGGCTCGGGAGTGGGGTTCTAAGTAAAAATTGCACCAAGACGTATGACGTCATGCGACATTTCAAATCAATATCTTTTCAAGTTGAATCAATATCTTTTTTGCCTGTAATGTTTTCATTATGTGAAAAAATATAAAATATTTTGCAATACTTTTTGGTAATCTATTTGATAAACAAAAAAAAATGTGTTCATCCACCTTGCTTGCCACCAAAACTTAGGAATTGTTGAATAGAAGCCATCGAAAAGGGCCAAAAATAAACAAATTTTTGTCACCACTAAAGACGTCTAGTGTGAAGATTTAATAAACATTTACAAAAAAATCAATACACAGAAGCATAGTATAACTATTTATTATTCTTAGTGTAAAATTTCTTTGACATATATCTAATTTTCGAGGAGGAAATCGTCGAAAACCAAAACTCAAATTTTTTCTCTATCACTTCGGATTTTGCCAATTCGTGACAGCAATAGTTTTTTCAAATACCTGTTTCTCAAATGTCTCCCAGCTCCATAGAGGTATAAGAATAGAGTGGGGAAGGCGGCTCTAAAAGTGTCCATCTAGTAGAAAGAGAAAGAAGATGAGAGATGGCTAGCCTTTCTCTCCCTAATCGCGAATGCGCATTGGATGAAAAACCTACGGATGAATACTGACCAATCACACGACTGTGCAGCAATACCGATCAATCACACGGCTGCGCAGCAATACCGACCAATCACACGACTGCGCAGCAATACCGACCAATCACACGACTGCGCAGCGTCACAAAAGAGAGAGATAGCTAGCTTTCTACTAGACGGACACTTCCAACTTTTAGTAGAGTACATATCTAATATATGGTAAGGTTTATCATAGTAAAAATAGATGAGACAAAAATTGTGCATCTTGAAATTATCTTCAAAAAATGTACTTACCGTTTTTTTCCTAAAAATCAATGTTTCGAAGAAATCACGCGCCAAGTAGGGACACTACCTCACAACTTTTTTAACTTCAAATCTCGTCACTGACCAGTTCTGCCCATTTGACTTTCGCCAGATCGTCGGTCCGACCCGTGGGGGACCAACCATGGTTAGTTGGACCTTATGTATAACTTTTAAAGTAACTTGTAAAGTCGAATTTGTAAAGTAACTATTAAAAAATAATAAACTACTACTTGTATCTGTGTGTATTAATTTAAATGTATTTGTTCTTTTTATTCCTTGCCTTCTTTGATTTAAGTAATAAAATAATTTAACTTAATGAGGACATCAATAAAATTATGCAAACGATTTTTCAATTGGTTTTTTCGTTATGAAACTTATCCCCAAAAAGAGTCCACGAAGTTTTTTTGCAAAGAGTTTTTTATGCGACATAAAATCTTTTTACCATCCACACGTGCTAGAATATCGAAAAGAAGAAAAGAAAATAATTCGAATTTTCGAATATCGCTTTGGACAGACTGCTTTTTGTTTCCTATCGCCAGACGCGTTCAGCCGACCATCTACCATGGCCAAAATTTTCAAGTAACAAACCAAACCATAGAAATTGCAAGAAAAATTTACAAGTTTAACATTACCGGCCAATAGCCAAATATTAGGAAAATAGTACAAAAGTGAACAAAAACACAGCAAAAACATGGCTCTAGTTCTGAGGAAAGCGGTGTTGACGAAGAACGTTTCGTTCCTAAAATGCATAAAAGGGCGTCAAATCGCTACGACTGCCAACAAGAACAACCCAGCGCCCTTATGTAAGTCTTTACTCATTGTTTTAAAGATTTTCTTTAGATGCAAATAGATAATACGTAGATGTAATTATTTTTTTAGATTATCCACATAATATCTTCCTTTTGAGTAGGGGGCGTAGTCAGGAATCCATTTTATCGGTTCATCAAGTACTGGATTAAGAACTGGTTTGCTTTAGTGATATCTAGATTCTTAACATGATGTAAAAGGCTTGAACAGGGTGTATGCATAATGGGCTAGCACGTATTTGATTTCTTAATGAATTTAGCGTTTCAAACCCCGTTCAAGAGTTTTATTCAAATGATTGCTGTGCCTTGAAATATTAGTTTGATTATTCATTTGTCGTAGATTTTTCATTTCTAAGGTAAGTCGTAGCGAATTATGGTATCTAATCTACTATATTTAGAATTGAATTTAACTTTGTCCATTTTGTTTTTTTTTTTCAAACAAAAGACAAATTGGTTTGACGTTTGTCAATGAGGATCATACTGGGTCAGCGAATCAAGTCAAAATCAACAGTATATTGATCTAATAAGCTTTTTAAATAATATACTTTTTAAATCATCGAAATCGGTTCATTCGTTGCGATTTTATAACTAATTTTATGGTAGACAATATTCAGCGGCGGTCGAAACGTAGGTTCGAACTCTGTGACGTCACAGAGCTCTAAGAATTTATAAATCTGCATTCTCAACTGAAATAGTTACCGATCCTCATTGTCAATTTTTCGATGTTATTTTGGAGAACGGTGGTTGCGTAGGACCTCCGGCCTTTAATACTCGACGGGGCGATGCGCGGCCCTCGTTCTTCCGAATAGCATTTGCGACTGGCTGTCGGCTCGCTGAGTATTAAACGTTGGATGTCCTTTGCAGCGGCGGCTTCTTACGGCGTGTTGACGTTCGGCTCACCATTGATGGCTCGCACAGCCCTCTGTTGCGGCGACCCCCGTGGTTCTTTGCGCTTTTTTGCCCAGAAGAAGGATGAGAAGAAAGGATCCTGCCCAACTTGCGGGTGTCCGAGCCCCTGTGGACCACCCTGTGGACCACCCTGTGGACCACCCTGCGGGCCACCATGTGGACCTTGTGGACCTTGTGGACCATGCGGGCCTTGCGGTCCCTGTGGACCTTGTCGCTGCCCGGGCCCTTGTGGACCGTGTGGACCTTGCGGTCCATGTGGACCATGTGGACCATGTGGCCCGTGTGGCCCATGCGGACCTTGCGGACCTTGTGGGCCTTGCAAATGCCCTTGCCCGTGTCCCTGCGGACCCTGTGGACCATGCTGCCCGCCACCTTGCTCTCCGCCCAAGCCAAAGAAGTGCCAATGTGGAGCATGCGCCTGCTTTATAACGCCAGAACTTCAGGCTGCTGCCGCCAATGCTACTCAGGAACAGAAGCCAGCAACGGAACAATTGAGGGTCGAAGAAATCAAGAAAGATAAGATGTCACGAATATCTGCCTCTAGTGTCAAAGTTACGCCTTGATAGCGGAGTGATTTATTAATGATCTGACTTTTATGTTCTTTAATAATAATTTTATTTTGTGATTTCTAAATTTTAATAAATGTATTAAAGAAACGTTTGCTTTTATTTTTGAACTCGACTACTCTGTAGGGACTGATTAGGGACCAGATGAACAGCATAGGGATAAATTTGAGAGCTTTGATTGAGGTGAATAGCTTGACATACCTTTGCAGCGCAGGCAGTGCCATGCCGAAGGTTGAGGGATGGCAGAAGGAACCTGCACTTGGGTATCGCGAAGATCGGCAAGACGAAGCGGTTGTCGCCGGTGCGCAGGCGCTGCGTGCCTCGCTGCGCCCCTCGGACGCGGGTCAGCGTGTCGTGTCCAACTCTCGCCGTTGAAAACAGACCGAAGATTCGCGTGTCCCTTCGCCACTTCAGCCCACCTCCCCTCGCTAAGCTCGCGTGTTCCGTCCAGTCTCCTACAACGTTCGCCTTTTACACCCCTCTGCTCCAACGCTCTCAAGTCATGACTGCGTCTAAACGCTCTTTCTCTGCAAAACCTTGCCCGTTTCCATGCGGTCCATGTGGTTGCGCTAAAGGCTGCAACTGCCTCCCACCTCCGTGCAACACCCCTCCACGTTGCATTCAATACATGACTGGATACTACTACTATCCTTATGGCACCTGGTTCTGTGGGCCTTACCATGTGTCTGGTACTTGTTGCCCAGTTGGCCCCTGTGGTCCTGGCTCCTGTGGCCCATGTGGCCCGTGCGGTCCGTGTTCTCCTTGCGGCCCGTGTGCTCCTTGTGGCCCATGTCTGAAATGCGCTTGTCCCAGTGCAGTTTGCCCTGGATCTATCCCGCCCACGGTGTGCACTACAGCTATGAACCCTATGTCAGACATGAATAAAGCGCCCCTTCGCGATATTCCTAGAACAGGTGTGATGCCTGGTAATCAAATCAAAAGCCCCCTCTCCAAGGACGAGTCTTGTAGACAAGCTTCTAAGACTGATGTATCTAAATCTGGAATATCCAGGTTCTTCCCGTATGACAATAAGACAACTAACGCAACCCGTCCGGCTGGTACTCCAAAAAATCTCCCCACAACTACAATTATAACATCGTGTTCGTGCCCATATAGTACCCAAGCGGGATTGCATTGCAAGACTGCCCAATTCTCTGACCCAAAAATGAATTTGCCCAAATCTAGCAGCCGAAAGGTAGGCAAAAATGCTGGTTCCCTCTTAGAGAAACCTAGAACTTTACTGACGTTGGAGCAGAGGAACAAACCAAGAGTAAAAGCAGGCGCGTTCGACCATGCCTCCATTCCAAACTATAAGAATCCTTACCCCGACCCGCACATTGACCACAAATTCAAAGCTTATGAATCATAATAGGTATCTGCAATCTCCCTTGATTTAGTTTCTTAACTGTTACTTCAAATACTTGCGTCGCTACTAGGTCATTATATTGCAATAACTCTGTAACCGCGCCTGCTCATTGGAAATAAACCTTTAACACATACTCCTGGGTTTCATTGTCTCTACCCTGAATGTTCAATTTGTAGGATGTATACTGTAATTACAGCGCCCACTCATCCTTTCAGCGAATGCCACCAAGAAGATGGGTTTGAGAGAGCACATAAACAAAACACAGTTCGAGCAGCCGATGACGAAAATAACTCTAATGAAGATGAGCGTCTGCGACACGCCCCCGCGAGCTACGGTCACACCTCGCCGATGCATGTCCTGTCCGAATCTGCAGGCCAAGCCTAAGGAAAGCCATTCGCAGCGCGATCACTTGGCAAAGTCGAGATCGGCAGTATTTCACGAAGAAAAGCGGTGCCCGAACTACTTCAGACCGAATCCTGTTCTGCACTGTGTACATTCGAATCCTGCACAGTCCACTGCAGCTAAGGAAGCGTCGACTGCGAATGGGATCGGAAGTGATCCCTTGGAAGCCCTGATGAGGCTGTGTTCATGCCCTGGCCCTTGTCCGCCACCTGCTTGCGCCGGATGCAACTGCCTGCCGCCACCGTGCAACGTTCCCGCCAAATGCGTACAGTACATGACTGGCTACTACTACTACCCGTACGGAACGTGGTTCTGCGGACCTTACCACGTGCAGACTGGACCTTGCGGGCCGTGCGCTGGGCCCATTCAAGCGGGTGGACCGGGCGGCCCAACAGTATGCGTTCCAACTTGCGGACCCTGTGGACCTAATGGGCCCCTCTGCAGCCCGTGTGGAGCTTGCGGCCCTTGTGCGCCGTGTGGGGGTTGTGGACCTTGCGGCCCATGTGGACCTCTCTGCTGCCTTGTACCGGAGTTGCTGGATATCTGTGGGGCTTGTGGATGCAGGCCTTGTGGACCCTGTGGACCCTGTGGACCATGCGGTCCATGTGGACCATGCGCACCCTGTGGACCCTGCGCGCCTTGTGGACCCTGTGGACCCTGCGCGCCTTGTGGACCCTGTGGACCCTGTGGACCCTGCGGACCATGCGCATCCTGTGGACCCTGCGGACCTTGTGGGCCTTGTGGCTCCTGCGGACCTTGTGGCCCCTGTGGACCTTGCGGACCGTGCGGATGTGGTCCTAGTGGGCCTTGTGCACCTTGTGGACCCTGCGGACCTTGTGGGTATGGATGCAGCCCGTGCGGATGTGGACCTTGCGGATGTGGCCCTTGTGGATGTGGCCCCTGCAGGTGTGGCCCCTGCGCCGGCTGCTTCAGCGGCCCATGCATGAACTGCCCGTGCGCCCCGCTCCCCGTGTGCGGGCCCGTGATGCCCGGCGGCCCTGATGGCCCCGTAGGAACCGACGGTCCTGTCTGCCCCAAGAATTGTATCGTGAGCACTTGCATGGCGTCTAAAGGACTCACCAAGGAAAAAGAACCGTGCTTCTGCGAGGTCTGTCGCAGTGCAAGACAGGCGTCTGCGGAAGCCAGGAATCCAGAAATCGTGACTGCAAGGACTTTACCTATACCACCACCTCCGAAATGTGACAACAACCCCAACATAGTTCAGGCATACCCACTAAAGGCAACTGCCAAAGGCCACAATCCGTTGCCGCATGTGACTGCAGTCTTCGCCGCTTTCTTCTCCACAAAGATTGGGAACATTGGCGCAGAACAAGCGATCAAGAACCTACAGGAATCGTCTACACTGGAGAAACTTCTAGAGGAACCGAAGAGGAAGACTTTAGCTTACCCAAGAACATACATAAGGATTTAGAATTATGCGTTTATTTACTAAGACAACTCCCGCTTCTGACAATAGTGTTTAAGAAATGAATATCATAGAATAAACTGGTAAAACTAATTGTTATTTTTCATTAACTTTCCAATTCCCTGAAGCCGGCTTATCACTACGGGATATAATATATATTTGTTGATCAATTTGCCTAAACTCGCCATGTATTATATCCCGTAGTAAAAAGCCGTAAAAGGGGTTATTTCACCTAATCCTCACGGACTAAGTTTAGTTAAGTTTTTTTTTGTTTCACATGTCACGAGTTCGATACCTGGTTGTGGTAGGCGATTGCAAAGAAAACGGAATGTAATTCTTCCTATTAATAAAAAAAATCGATGTCTCCTTTCAGTAAAATATCCTATGGTCAATATTTGAGGAGCTCGATGGCGCGGGTGGTTAGCGCGTTCGGCTGCGGTCGTTGAAGTTGAGCAACTTTCGCAGTGGTCGGTCATTGGATGGGTGACCAAAAATTTACTATCTCGCGCTCCTCCGTGCTTTGGAAGGCACGTTAAGCCGTTGGTCCCGGCTGCATCTGCAGTCGTTAGCACCCACCAACCCGCACTGGGTCCGCGTGGTGGGTCATGGCCCAATCTCCCTAATCCATCCATAGGGAAGGCCTGTGCCCCAGCAGTGGGGACATTAATAGGCTGATGATGATGAATATTTAATATACTTTCCTTCCGTGTGGTCCTGATGGCTCCACTAGGGGAGCCGTCACACAGACAACAGTCCGTCCGACATCCCACAGACAGGGGTTTGGCCTCTGTATCCCAGATGTTCCATTTTCTACTTCCATTATGGAACTACTGGGATATTTTTTTCCCAGTGGTTCCATGGTACTGGCACCCTGTTTATGCAAGATAAAATTAGTCTCAGTAGTTCAATTCTCTAGTTACATTCCAAGTACGACCTCTGTGGCAGAGTGGTTTATACGCCAGGTTTCATTTTGTCGCCGACTCGAGCGAGAGGTCCCGGGTTCGAATCCCAGTGGGGGCAGATGTTTGTGTGATGAATACGAGCATTTGTATTCCAGTCATGGATGTTTAATAATATTTATATATTTCTATATCTTTATATATATAATTCTTCTGTGAGTGTGTATGTCACTGAACTTCTCTTAAACGACTGGACCGATTTTGATGAAATTTTTTGTGTGTGTTCAAGGAGATCTGAGAATGGTTTAGATTCACAATTTTGTCCGCTGGACAACCCCTATTTTTTTAGGGCGGTACGAAGTTCGCTGGGTCAGCTAGTATTTCTATATAAATGTACTTATATATGGTACAATAATGTATTCTATCCGTTACCCTAGTATCCCTTACAGCCTTACAGTGCTTACTTTGGGGCTAGGCTAATTGGTGTGAGTGTTGGAAATATTTACATATATTTATATTCCAGGTAGTACCCATCGATTTCACTGTATTTTATGGACTGAAACTTATTCAAAAGCGAAGTAAGGAAAAGTACAATCGAGCTATAAACTTACTTTATTTAGCTAACCGTACCAGTGAAATGTTGTTGTATATAAATAAACTGCATTTCCATTATACTATTGCAACTTTTACCTGTACCCTTAGTACAAGTTTGTGCTAACGAAAACTATCATAGTTTTCGTAATTGTAAATTGTTTCTATGTCCATTTTGGTGAAAACTAATAACATGTATTTCTATATAAATACTAGCTGTCCCAGCGAACTTTGTACCGCCATAAAAAAATAGGGGTTGGTGGTAGAAGGGCGAAAATTTTGGGTTATTTTTGTATATTGTATCATAAAAAAATTAAAAAGAAAAAATTACTAAAATTGAAAAAAAAATTAGGGTTGGATTACCCTTAACATTTAGGGGGATGAAAAATAAATGTTGTTCGATTCTCAGACCTACTGAATATGCATATAAAATTTCACGAAAATCGGTCGAGCCGTCTCGGAGGAGTTTAACCACAAACACCGCGACACGAGAATTTTATATATTAGATACTTATATACGGCACAATATATGTATTCTATCCGTTACCCTAGTATCCCTTAACACAAGCCTTAGGGCTAGGCTAATTGGTGTCAGTGTTGGAAATATTTACATATTTATATTCCAGGTATACGTACTCGTATTTTAATACCTATCTATTTCACAGTATTTTAAGGACGAACTTATTTTCAAAGCAAAGTAAGGAAAGAACAATCGAGTTATAAAACTTAAGTCTAACCGTTCCAGTGATATGTTGTGTTTTATATAAACTGCGTCTCCATAATACTATTGCCACTTTTACCTGCCTCTCTAGCATGACCACCAAAATGGGCTATGATAAAGCGATATATCGGCATTAACTGTCAAACTACTATGAAATTTGACAGTAGTCTGACAGTAAATGTCGATATATCGCTTTATCATATCCCGTTTCGGTGGTCATTTTAGAGGGGCATCCCCTCTAGCATGACCACCGAAACGAGATATGATAAAGCAATATATCGGCATTAACTGTCAGACTACTATGGAGTTTGACAGTAGTCTGACAGTTAATGTCGATCATATCCCGTTTCGGTGATCATGCTAGAGGGGATGCCCCTATAGTATGACCACCGAAACGGGATATGATAAAGCGATATATAGACATTAACTGTCAGATTACAGTGGAGTTTGACAGTTGAGATTCGATAAAAAGCTTATCATATCCCGTTTCGGTGGTCATGCTAGAGGGGCTGGTGTGCTTATAGTATTAGCTTCGGCTTTGATGCCATAAAAACGCCGTAGGCCGCGTACACTGACAAAAATAAAACTTATTTAAAAAATTCTCGTGTCACAATGTTAGTTACCATACTCCTCCGAAACGGCCTGAGCGATTTTTATAAAATTTTATATGCATATTCCGTGGGTCCGAGAATCGGCTACTATCTATTTTTCATATCCTTAAGTGATAATAGTTGTCCACCCGTAACGTAGTGTTCTGAAACCTACAATGTGAACAAACTATTCGGTATTGTAACGTAGTGTTCTCATATGGGTTAGGAGGAATGTTATCCCAGGAAATCGGTAGAACACTACGTTACACATCCCTAAAATTTTTTTTGGACAATATTTATATAAATAATTTCTCTTCAACCTCCTGCCCCTATTTTTATGGCGGTACGAAGTTCGCTGGGTCAGCTAGTATGTATATATAAATATTTCCAACACACACACTAATTAGCCTAGCACTGTAAAGGTATATTTCCGCAATGGGCTGCAGGCGAAACTGAGGCTAGCGCCTGCGGCTGACCGTGCATTATATGCATTGTGCAGCCGTGGCAAGTCGCCGTGCTCGGAATCAATTTCATAGAGATTCATAGAAATTAGTAGTGTCGCCTGCAGTCTGTAGCTGCGGCCTGCGGTTCAGTACGGACTTGTACCTTAAGGCTTCTGTTATGGGATGCTAGGGTAACGGATAGAATACATATACTGTGCATAAGTATATTTATATAGAAATAGAAATACATATTAAACATCCATGACTGGAGTACAAATGCTCGTATTCATCTCACAAACATCTGCCCCCACTGAGATTCGAACCCGGGACCTCCCGAGTAGGAGACACCATGAATATAATGAATGCGTATAAACCACTCGGTCACCGAGGACGTCATTAGGAGGTATTTAAAATATTATAACTAATATTATTTATTTCTTCTATGTATTTTACGCAGGACAAATAATTTTGCTGAAACATGACTTTTCAAAAATAATTAAATAGTACAGTCAATCTGTCGAAAAAAAAATCGTTTCAGTGAAAAAAAAACCTAAAGGGTAAGTCTTGTTTTTTCTGTTGCCAAATGACGTCAGTAAGCCACCTTGGCGATGGGCATGTTCAACTCGTAGGCGTTTTTTGGAAAACTCAAAAAACCTTCAAAAATTTTTTGAAACGCATTTTTCATGTTTTGTATGCATTTTAGAAACTTTTTTTTCGACCATAATTGTAGAGGCCGTTGAGTGCTACAATTTATGTCATTATTGCAATCTCGTACAACAAAAAATGCGCATTGTAGGTGGCGCTAAAGTCTCAAAAAAAGTGTTTTTTCACTTTTTCACCCTGAAAATATCATTTTAATGGAAAACTTTAAATGGAACAGTTGTTCCGTACATAATTACCAACAACTTTTGCTTATACAATTTTTTTAAATTACTTACAGTTTTAAGTTACAGTGCAATACAGCGCTACGTATACAACACAGTGAGTGCCAACACAGTGGGCCAATAGGGATGATGACTATTTTTTTTTTCTTCGTTTATCAGGTAGATTATCAAAAAGTATTGGACACGTTGTATTTTTTCTTTTTTCACATAATATAAACATTGCAGAGGTATATTGATTTGAAAAGTCGCGTGACGTCACGCTTGAGTACACTTAGAAGTGAAAATTCACTCGAAAGTGACGTCACTCCCAAACTTTGACGCGCTATAACTTTGTCATTTTTTGGTTGATTGCCCAAAGAAAAAATACGTGTCCATTATTTTTTGATCATCTATCTGACGGACTTAATAGTATTTCATTTACTGTACCCCGTCATCACCCCTATTCGCAATCTGCTCTATTCACAAAATACATTAGTAAATTATTACAATCATGAAAAAAAATAAAAAATAGTAAAACCTACATTGAAATGTGCACTGCAAATGTGTACTTGAACTGCCCAAAACCGCTCTATTGGATTTTTCGTACCTGCGCAATTTATAACTTGAAAATGGTAAGTAATACAAAAAAAATGTTTGCACAAAAGTTGTTGGTAATTATGTACGGAACAACTTTTCCATTTAAAGTTTTCCATTAAAATGATATTTTCAGGGTGAAAAAGTGAAATAAACTTTTTTTGAGACTTTAGCGCCACCTACAATGCGCATTTTTTGTTGTACGAGTTTGCAACAATGACATAAATTGTAGTACTCAACGCCCTCTACAATTATGGTCAAAAAAAAAAAGTTTCTAAAATGCATACAAAACAAGAAAAATGCAT